CCTAGAGACAGGAGAGGAGGAGTTCTGGGGAGAGAGTGAAGGGTTTGACAAAGAGACAGGAGAGGAGGAGTTCAGGGGAGAGGGTAAAGGGTTCGACAAAGAGACAGGAGAGGAGGAGTTCAGGGGAGAGGGTGAAAGGTTCGACACCTAGAGACAGGAGAGGAGGAGTTCAGGGGAGAGGGTGAAGGGTTCGATAGAGAGGGGGGGAGGAGTTCAGGGGAGAGGGTAAAGGGTTCGACACCTACAGAAAGGAGGGGCACAGTGTGGCACTGTGGGAAGGATGATCTAAAACCAATTACTCCAGTAGGGGAACAGAACAAAAAGACAGCGGGACTATAAGTTGCAGACTAAGAGTGGTCTGGTTGCTGCATGCTGGGAGTATTATCTTACATCCAACAGAAGACAGAGAGGGCTTGTTAGCATCAATCAATGTCAAACTCTTCAAAGCAGGTCAGATGGCCTCCTTCCTAACCTTAATAATGTGCCTGTGTCTGGCGTTTCCCTGTTAACGGTCCTGTGTCAAAAGTTCTTCACAGCCCTGCCAGGCCCGTGAAGTCAAGGGAAGAGTCAAGAGACGATCCTTGCCTCCATCCGGAAATGGAAAGCGGAGTTCCTCAGTGGAATACACAGGGCTTGGTGCGTCACATTTCAGGGATCAGGCTCTGTGTCGGGACTGTGGGAAATGGCGAGTTTCTTCAGATCTGCTAATGGACTGTGAGCAGGATTCCCACCCAAAAGACAGAAGAGTGCCCTGCCTTCAGCAGGCGGGCGTGTCTTCACGTCTTGCCACCTGGAGAGCCCATGCGGGGTAGAAATGTAATACAAAACAGTCCAGTTTTTAAAACTACTCAAAAGTAGTTTTAACTACTTAAAAGTTTTTTGCTACTCACTGCAAGATGTATTTTTACACAGCCAGGCCAAGATATTCCAGGATGGTGTGTTCCTCGTGACAGACTGCTGCAATTCAGAGGTATGGCTGTGCATTTTATAAGTGGCGATTAACACAAAACAATCAGTAAACTTTGCTTCCCCCAGTTTCTCTTTCTCCATCTTCGCAGGAAATCGGTTATACGGAGCAGGCTGGGACACAGCCCTGTAGTAATCAGTATTACTGGGAAGGCGCCAGGCAGGGATAGCTGAGAGGCCAACAGTAACAACAGACCAACCCCGTTTTCTCAGGGCGTCCAACCCGATCCTCCTCCCACAGGGTCCTGCCCACCACTGCAACCACGCTTCGGATGCTATCCTCTGGACACAGACGGCATTCTTCCCAGATTCCTGCTAAATTCCCATCGAAGGTACCTATCAAACCAGCAGGATATGATCTCTGTCTGTAAAATTGAAAAAAAAAAACAGTTCAGGCAAATCACATCACACTCATCATGAGTCATGCTCAAAGGTTTGCCACGCACAGGTTTCTTAAAGGAACTCGGTCTCTTTAGTCCTGAGCACAAGGGCACTGACAAAGTCAGCCCGTGGGACTGCAAACCCAGCCCTGACAGGAGGATCCCAAGACACAGGTGGAAAACTCAGAGAAGGTCCATTTAGTGTCTGGTGCAACCTGCCCTGTCATGCTGTTGAAACTGGCTTTCTGATAACAGGCGTTCTCACATTCCTGAACTTTACACAACTAGGAATTAAAGAGGGCTGGGAGACCTTCTGCGACCCTGTGTTCCTTCCAGAAATGGCTCAAAGCAGATTCTCACACAGACCCACCAGGAAAGATGAAATAAAGGTCAAGTGGGCGGCGCCACAAAGTCTAGTCCTGAGCCACTTCTTTCAGGAGTGCAAAACATCAGCCTGCCTGCATGCCTGCCTCGTCAATAAAACACGTCCAAGACCCCGCGACCCGGCAGACCCACTGGACGGAGCCGCCGCGCCGAGCTCCGAGTTTGATTTCCCTGCCCGGGAGCGGAGGAGCGACAGCCGGAGCCGCCAACATCTGCAAGCTGGCGTGATGGCATCTCGGGCCTGGGCTGGGCTGGGCATCTCGGCCGTTCATCATCGCGGCAGCCCTCCAGCCAGCTCGCGCAGGGCCCGTTTATCAGCGCGCTGCACACGCCGGGAACCTTTCCCACTCCACATCACCGGGTGCGACTGGGAAAAAAAACACAGAGCTCTTGGGCAAACATTTCTCCCAGCGTGCGAGAAAACCAAACCACGTTAATTGATGCCGCGCTGAAGAGTGCTGTGGATCACTCCGTCCAAGTGCTCGTTTACCAAGGGGGGAGGGATCAGAAAGAATTTGTCCCACCGTGAGGGTCGGGCGCTCGTATAACACTCACGTGCTGCCAGTTCAAACATGCAGGAAGGCAGTATGCGTGGAACAACACTCAGCACAAAAGGGAGCAGGCCTAAAACACGTCACCATCCAGTGCCACTCCGCCTTCTGCACTGTGCATGGCCTGACACAGATGCTCTTGCAGACTAATTAATAATAATAATTTCTCACACTTATATAGTGCTTTTATGGACACTCAAACACTTTACAGGTAATGGGGACTCCCCTCCACCCCTATCAGTGTGCAGCCCCACCTGGATGATGCTCCAGTCGCTCACCACACACCAGCTCTCAGTGGGGAGGAGAATGGAGTGATGAAGCCAGTTCAGAGATGGGGATTATGAGGAGGCCATGACTGGTAAAGTCCAGGGGGAAATTTGGTCAGGACACCAAGGTTACACCCCTACTCTTTTTGTGAAACACCCTGGGATTTTTAATGACCCCAGAGAGTCAATTGAAGGATGACGCCTTTTTACAGTATAGTGTCCAAGTCACTATACTGGGGCATTAGGACCCACACGGACCGCAGGGTGAGCGCCTCCTACTGGCCCCACTAACACCTCTTCCAGTAACAGCCTTAGCTTTCCCAGGAGTCTCCCATCCAGGCCCAGGCTAGGCTCACACCTGCTGAGCTCCAGTGGGGCTGTCGGCTGGGAGCTGCAGGGTGTCGTAGCTGCTGAGATTTGTGAAGGTGTGAAAACATCGGAGGGAAAATGTAAAAATCCAACAGCTGGGGCGGTGAGGGGCTCATTTCAATATGCCAGGAGTGCACAGGGGCACACATACAGAAAGACCCCAGATATTCCACACACGCATCGCAACACGTACGTAAGGACTCTCTTTGTCGTGTTCCTGGAACCGAATAAAAGCAGTAAGTACCCTCTTCAGAGATGCTCGCTGTTTTGCTCACCACAGTTCTGACCCCATTAGCTTGAGCATTCAGAAAATAAAATAAATCACAGCATGGCTATTATGCTCTTTAATTGTCTCGGAATAAATTGCACACGCGCCCATATATATTTACGCAGGATTGTGCAAATGGATCAAGACAATAACACTGCAGCTGAAGTTCAGAATTTTCTGCACAGATATAATCAAATCCACCCCTGGCTTGAAACCTGTCCAAACCAACACGGCCTTGCCTCATTTTCCCTGAAGAGTGTCCTTCAACAGACGTGCATTTAGCCTTTAAACTAGCAGGGAGGAGCAGGAACACAGAGCTGCAACAGGCGAGTTTTCATCGGAATGTCTTTGAACAGAGGTCTCCACCACCGGTCCTGGATTAACTCTTGTCCAGTGCCCAGTGCACTTTAATAAATTAATATAATGTTGCTTTATTAGCCCCATACAATTTCTTGCATTAGGAATTTGTCTTTTTTCATACCCCAGCTTGCTCTCCATGAGACACACAGACAGGGAGAGAAGCTTGGGGTCAGAGCGCAGGGTCAGCCATTGTACAGTTGGGGTTAAGGGCCTTGCTTAGGTGCCCAACGGAGTTCCTCTGCCGGCTGCGGGATTTGAACCGGCAACCTTCCAGTCACAGGTACAGATCCTTAGCCACAGGGCCACTGTTCATGCAACTGACCAGTTAAGCCAAGAATGTTTCAAAGAAGGCCACACAGGTCCTTGAGGGCTGAGGGATACAATTAGCCTCCCCTGAACTTGCTGATTGGATCACAGTGAAGCCGTCCCAGGCCTTTGGAAACTGAGGATTTAAATGCTGCCTACAAACCTGCTGGACTGGGTCTCTCTCAGACCAGGGTTGAATATCTTGCCTCACAAGCTGCCCCACAAGTTTAATAACTGAAGCGTTATGAAAAAGAGAATCAGATTCCAGCAGGAAAGGGACACATTATCAAATCCATATGCACGGGTAGAATAGCAACAAAAAAAAAGCACCCAGCTGTTCTTGGCTATACTGAATAATAGCATTGGTGGTGCCTTCGGGCAGAACTATGTATTTGGAAATAGTTTCATGCAAGACGAATGTGCAGGGGGAAAAAAGGAATATTGAGGTTCTCTATCCAATGAATGTTTTTTTTCTGCACACTAAGCTCAATACATGACTGATCTTGACAGATCTGTAGATCTGTCTTTGCCTTTACTCTCAGTGATGAGGACCAGCGCTGATTGATGTATTAAAGCCAGAAGCCAGCAGAGCTACACTGCAGGATTTATCCTACAGACTCTGGACAGCCATATGGATAAAAGACACCCCCCCCCCTGCCCCCCAAAGCTTAGAAGACGATGGTGATGATGCATTCAGTTTGTTTATCTCACAGGATATGTGTGTGTTTCAATTCTTTTGAATCCAGTTGTGATATTTCTCTGATTCCACATAAAACCCAGCTACAATTTCACACTTGTAGCATGGTTACAGGGCTCCACCAGCACTCTAAAAAAGTACTTTAAGGTTAAAAAAAAAGCTCTTTTCCACAGTGGAGCTGTCTATGGATTTGCACTTTTGGATTTTTCCAGCTCCATCCAGCTCCAAGCGCCCAGTCTGTGCTCTGGAGCAGACAGCTGTGGGAATTAACCAGTTACATGGCCAAGCGGCTGTGGACTCTTATCTGATCCCAGATGCAGGAGCATCAGTGGACGCTGACAGACTCCCACTGCATGGCAGTTTGGTCCACCTTGGGCTTTTCCAGTTGCTTGTTCCTGGATAAATTGTGTGTACTGATGAAGCTGAAAATGAGCTCTTTAACTGTACACATTTAGCAATGGCACCTAGTCCTTGAAAGTGGCCTGCAGCTTAAAGTAAAACCTGAAATGGATCAAATTGCTTTTCATGCTTTGCAGTGGGAGTCTAACTGCTGTCTCACAGCAACAGTACAGGACCACTTCTGGTTAATGGGATGGACGTCAAAAGCTCTCTGCGCCAGTTTTAAATGATGGAATGGGGTGCAATTGCTTTTTACTGAACAAGGAAATACATTTTGAGTCAGGAAATGAATGCAGAGAAGCCAGAGCCTGTACAGATTTATCTACGAGTCTCCACAGCTCTCTGAGCAGGCTGAATTAGCGAACAGGTCAGGAGAGAAAGATTTATGGTGTTTAGTGAGTGTTTGGTGGCGTAAGAGTCTCATTGCACCCAGACTGCCATTCCTCTCCTGTCGCTGGGTAATAGATTAAAATAGAGAGAGAAACGGGGAGATGAGAGAGAGAGAGAAAGGGGGTGATGGGAAATGAGAGAAAGGGGGTGATGAGGAGAGAGAGAGAAAGGGGGTGATGGGAAGAGAGAGAGAGAAAGGGGGTGATGGGGAGAGAGAGAGAGAAAAGGGGTGATGGGGAGAGAGAGAGAAAGGGGGTGATAGGGAGAGAGAGAGAGGAAGGGGGTGGTGGGGAGAGAGAGAGGAAGTTTGTGATGGGGAGAGAAAGAGAAAGGGGGTGATGGAGAGAGCGAAAGGGGAATAGAGAGACAGGGAGAGAGAGAGAAAGGAGGCATGAGGGGGAGACAGAGGGACAGGAGGAGAAGGAGAGAGACTATAAATGGTGGCAGAAAGCAGACAGGTGGCAGACAGAGAAGGAGGGAGAGACCTGCTACATCTCCCTGTGGGTCTCAGAGTTCCCCCAGGGGCTGTGCGGGGCACTCTGGCACCGGAAGGCCATTACGTCAGACAGACCGCAGGCCGGACACCGCCACCACACCATGGCGGGTGAAGTTATCACCTCATCACTGCCCGGAGCTCCCGTGGAAAGAGGTCACTGCGTGTGGAGCCGACGAGGTCACCTGGAATTAACCCCCGCGGCGCCGGAGCACAGGCCCACAGAGACACACTGTACACTCTGCTGAAGAGCACAGCTTCCACCGCGCGTCTGTGAAAATAAACACACACACAGCTCCCTTGGGAGAGAGGCCTGGGGTCTGGAGCATGGTCCAGCTGGCACAGGCCTCTGTTCTGGAGGCGATCCAGTCCTGGTCCTGGGTGGGCAGTGTGTCTGCAGACTTACAAGCTAAATCAGCCCATACTTAGCTTAACTGGACCCATTTCACAATTCACTCCCATCTCTTCAGCCTCTGCTGCTTTAGGAGACCTAGAAGACCTACAGACACCCCAGGACCACAGCCGGGCACCCCTAGCGATCACAGCTTCCTGCCAGATCTGATGATACTGGCAGATGCCGGTGGGATTCCGTATGGGTCTGGAGCATAATTTGGGAGAACACAGCTGGGATTGGGAGGTTCCAAAGTCAGGAGGGGCTTCCTTGACTTGTGACACTAGAGCGCCCCCCTGTGGCACCTGTGAGCCTGCAGTGTTCTCAGCGAGTTGCATTAGATCTCAGCCCAACCCCTCTGTTCCACAGCTGACAGCGTGTAGAAAGCTCACGCGTGCCAACAGCAGACAGCATGTCAGACGCATTTGGTCTTCAGGCTGTTTGAAAACAGGACCCAGCCCTCCCTTCCACCTGAGGCCTCCCAGTCTCACCGCCTCTGACTCGGCCCTCTCGAGCCCAAAGCCACCTGTCCGGGATCATCAGGTGAGCGTTTCCGAGGCCGTCAGACAGAGTTTGACCTGGGGTGAACGGATGCTGCTTGGCTGGTGTGCGATTCGCACAGGGATTAGGATGACCTGAACAGTAGGAGCAAATGCATTCGACTCCAGTCTCAGGGCAACCCAGGCAGGTGACCTGGCATCTCACCCACATGGGCACAAAGGTGGCGAGAGTCAGTGAACTAGTCATTCCAGATAGTGAGGGAGGCATAAACAGCACCAATTTAAACTGCTGATTCTACATTTTCACAGCGCACGCTACACTGGTGTTACACAGATTTGAGATAACACCCCTAGGGGTTGCACAGCTGTGGCATAAAGAGTGATATAATCAAAAGATCCAGCATTAAGATCCAATCACTCTCAACAAAAGCTCCTCATCTGCGGGCTCATCTGAACTCGATGGCTTCCTTGCTGTACTCTCTCGAGACAGGCCTGCCCGTTCTCACCCCCTTCAAAACTGACACTGCAGAACTCGTTCCTGCACAGTGCAGCAGATCCCTTGCCTGTGAACATGGAGATGGTGCATCGTGGGTGTGGGGAGAGGACATGCCAGTTCCATGCTTCAGACGTCAGCAAGAGGAGTGCAAGGGGTTGCTCAGGGCGAGTAAGAAAGAGGCCGGATCACACAGAAGCAGCTTCAAAGAGCTCCAAGGGAAAGGAATGGGAAGGCAGGCAGAATTCAGAAGAAGGCAAGGGCCCACCTCTCAGTCTGTCTTATATATTATATATACCGTACATATATAATTTCTCAGGTTTTCTGCAGAAAGGTGATCTCCTCTAAGGTCGCTGGTTGAAAACTTGGGCTGCATGGCTCGTGGCACACAAAGGCGTCAGAACCCAAGCGCCAAATTCGAAAAACATTTACCTTGGCATCACTGTAACTGATCGAATCTTGGCCAATCTTGACCGAACCACTTTCCCCCAGAATGCAGTGCGGTATGACCCGCCAGGCACTGTCTCCAATGACAGTCGGCAGAAGACAGCCGGTTTAGGCGACAGTTAAAACGCGGACGTGGAGGCTTTTGTTCCAGTTACTGGTCTGTATCTGATGCACCAGAGGAAAGCTGGAAGCAGGCCAGCCTCGTGGAGCCTGGGACGTGAGGAGTTTTTGCAAGGGTTATGCCTGGTTAGGTTTAGTGTAACTGGAGGGCTTGTGCAATGGTGGTTAACACGGATGGGAACTGGATGGAGAGGGAAATTCTTTTTCCTTGCAGTTTATTACTGAACAGCCGCATTTACTACCCCCGCTCTCTTCCTGATCTTCCCCTTTCCAAGTCCCGTTCTCCCCCCATAACCCATCAGAAAACACAGAGTCACATTCCCGTAAACCCAGCCACCAGCTGAACCACAGAACTCCACACGACTCCAAAACACTTCAAACCGCCCAACTGAACCAAACACTAACAGGACCAAAGCCGACATTTAGGGAGGGTATTTATGAAGAAATTTCATAAACGTAGGTTTCCAGTTTCCCTCACTGTATGTGACTACAGAGCACTGTCTTTTCACCTGATCACTGTGTCTGTCTAACACCCTGTGGTGGAGAAGCGCTTATTGAAAGCGTTCAGCTCAGGTCCTGGAAGGCCAGTGGATCTACAGGATTTCTAGACCTTTTTTTTTTATTAAAGCAGAACCATTGAAGTGCTGAGCAAAGCAAGCAATTGGCTTTTCGAGAGCTGGCAGCAAATTTCCAAATGGCCCTGGGCAGAAAATTGAAATCAAATAGCCTGTGATTAAGAGCTCAGCTGCATTAAAATCAGGAGGACACGGCTTGCCCATGACCAGGGTTGAGAACCACTGCCTGAATCCCAGACTCTGACTGGAGTGAGGCTGGGCTTCTCTTCCTGCCTCGACACAGTGTGTCTGTTCAACGTCTCTCGTTTCTTTCTTTCTAAATATGTGTATATTATCCTTTTCGAAAAGCGGGACTATGACAATTTCCAAGGCAGTACAACATCTGTGAGAGAGCGGGACCTGCATACATTATCTCTGCTGCAATCAATTTTGCTTTTGTTTTCCTGTTGCTGTTGCTTTTCACTCATAGTTAGGAGTGATTTGTTTTTCTCCCCCCCAACAAGCGAAAAGCAGCAACCCACAAAAAAAGAGAGAGAGAGAGAAAGAGAAAGCCCACTCAGCCCATTAGGAATGCAGGAAGCAATCGTCAGGGGATTGAGGCGTTCTCTTCTAGAGGAGATGCCAGGGGTTCGAGCCTGGATCACGTCACTAGTCGACTGTCGTCAGTTGTGCTGGGCTGTCGCAGTTCTCGATGACCCCTGTGGTCTCCCAGACAGTTTCAGGCCTGCTGGTGGGGACACACCTCTCCTCCTACAGGGGCTGTGCTGCCTGTGATGTGTTAAAAGATGATTGGCTTGGAGACAAGGCAGGCTACATCCTGGATGGGACGCCAGGCATGGAAACACAAATCCTGGCAGACAACGGGCACAGGGCAGGATACACCCACCCACACACAGAAACACAGAAACACAGATCCTGACAGGCAATACACTAGAAGGCAGGAAACACCCTGGATAGGATGCCAGTCCATCACAGGACACACACATAATAATATTGAGACCCTGGGAGACATCTTGTATAAGGCAGGATACACCACGTCTATGACCAATTGCCGGGACCTGGATGTGTTGTATCCATGACCTTATTTGCAA